TGATTTAGTTTGTAAACTGTTTTATGGAAACAGGTTCAGTTGTTGCTACCCTTAATACCTTGTCAAATCATGAGATTCCAATTTTTTCAGTACAGACATTGAAGAAATTGATTTCCCAAGCCAGAATATCTGAGAGAGGAAAACTTTGTGTATTCAGAAGAAGAAAAGTGTTACATACACTTCCTCTCTTCTGTAAAGTGGACCCAAGAATAATACCTGTCCTTGAGTCATTTAAGGAATTAAATGAGATGAAACACATAAAGTCATTCAACATCATTCACAGAATACATGCCCAATAAATATTTAGGCTTAATTATTAGATCTACTTTCCACCAACTTAATTGCTGATTTACAGACATCCCCAACCCAGCTGGTCCCTCCACCCATCTTACCTGGAGTTCATCTAAGATGAATCTGGTGTCTTTCACACCTCCACATCTGTAGGGGTTTTTGTCTTCTCCTGTCCACATTTTATTTTACCTACTGAAATGCCTTTGACTTCTTTTTCCTAACCAATTTTTTTAACAGTAAAAACTGAGGTATCATTATATCCTTTCCCAAGGCAAAGGTGACACACTTACAATGCATAGCTTGTCTGCTTCCTTTATCAGAGATTGCTGGGAACTTTGCTCACTACCTAACATTTCTCATACAAAACTTGGCATTATTATTTTTTGTCATTAAAAGGTCTAGGAGAAAACAGAGAACCCCAGGCAGAGTCCTCTGGAGTACAGGGATTTACCCCGAAACACTGCATTCAACCTACTGCTTCATTTGATATTGCACATTAGAATAAAACTAAAGGACATTACAAAAGGAAATAATCCACTCAAAAGCCATGTCATGTCTGTGTACACATATTTTGCATTCTTGTAATCATAGTGTATATACAATTTTACACCCTGCTTTCCAGTTTAAAATTATTTTGAAGACTTTTTGTTGTCATTTAAGTGCTCCTCTGAAAACTCTTGTATATAGAGCTCTTTATTCTTCGGGCACATGTTTCTTCACTACTGTCTTCTAGTTCTCCTCCACACATCCCCAACAATGCCTAATCAATATTCTTATTTCTCTTCTTCCACAGTCCTTCAAACATGGTAGGCTCTCAATGTTAGTCTCTGTGTCTTCTGTCTTTACTTGTATTCTGCTTGAATAATTTCTTCCACACCTGTAAGTTCAGCTGAATGATGCTAAATGTGTGTCTCCAGACCCCATCTGCCTTCTGAATCTCAGCCTCATTTATGTCATCACTCACTGAACATCCTTCCTGAATCACCCCTTCTATACCTAAAGCTTGATAGGCCTAAAAAAGAACTCACTGCCTTTTCCCCATGCTTTATCTTAAGTTTTTTCTTACTTAATGGATTAATACAAAGTGGAAATCTTAGTGCTATCTCTGACTCCTCTCTATTTCTTACCTCCCCATAAAACTAGACAATGTTATCCAATTTTTATATCTTGCTAAGTTTATTGGGTAGATCTGCCAAGACCTTGTCTTTAAGTCTCAGCTTTTCTCCATTAATCCTGATACTTCGTACATTCTTCCCTACCACAATTTATTTCTTAGGCATTGACCTAATGAATCTATTACAAGTATGAAACTCATCTGTGATTCCTTATGGACTGCAGAATAAAGTACAGATTTCCATGCAAGAGGATTTTTTTACAGCGTGGTTTTGCCCCTTAACTCTGTCCTGCTACACCTATGAGCCCCTTATACCCAGGATCCATTTAAGGGAGAGTTTAGGAGCTGTGGGCCTTGTAAGTTCCCAGAGTAATATGACACAAAAATTGCTTGTTTTTTGACAGAGACTAAGTAATTGCATTGAACCCAGTTTCTTCCCAAGTTACAGGACACGTACAATTTATGGGTCCAGACACAGCAAAAGAGAAATGTTTTCCCAAAGCTTTTACAAAGCCATAATACTTCTGTAGCTTCCTGTTGTTCTCCCATTTCCTGGTCCCACCCTGACTATTCACTCAAGGTATAAAATGCACAGAGGAGATTCCTCTGATGTTGTTCAGGGGCCTCATTCTGTTTGATGTCCAATGGTTTATATCACCTCCAAAAGATTCACCTTTATACTTTCAAGTAAAAAGTTACCTAAACCATGCAAGGCAGTGGGTGATTCCTTTCAATGGAATGGGGGATGGGGGTAAAGAAGGCGAGCGCATACTGCCACAACTGATTGAGGCAACAAAACGAGAAGGACCCATCAACACATTGTGCAAATGTACAATTATATTTGCCTATTATATCTTCAGCAGCCTTGTTAGAGAAAGGAGGAGGGCAACACATTCAAATCTTTTCTTCTGCTTGTGTTACTAGTTCTCTTTATGAGTAGTTGTATGATTCTCTAATAAGACCCAAGGAATTAATCCTCCTGACACCTTGTTCCTTTACACTTTTGCATTTATGCTATTCTGTCTTCCTAGAATGCCCATCCCTTTCCATTTTCCACTGTGTGAAATCCTCTCTGTCCTTCAAGGTCCAGTTCAAACTCATGGCCCCCGTACAGCCTTCTTCAGACATGCCTGCAAAATGCAGAACGCTTTGTCCTTCCTCTATACCCACATTGCATTTGGTCACATTGCTGGCAAAGCACTTTCCACCATGATTATTGCTGGTGTTTTTATGTCTGCTTTACATTTTAGACCACAACTTCCTTTAGGCCTAGGCCATCTTACTCTCCTTTGAATTTCCAGTGCCTGGCACCATGTCTTGATCATAATAGGCACACAATAAATGCTTATTACATTTTATAAATTAACTGTTGTGACCACATAAGTTTTTGTTCCAAGGACACAATCATTTCAATGCCTTTTTATCCAATAAATGATTTATAATTTGCAAAAAGCCATGCACCACCCCTTGTTGTGATACAGGCAACAATGAAATGGGACCCCTCAGATCTAGTCCTCTTTCTTTGGCCTTTGTCAGACTGGAGGGGCTTAGAGTTTCCCTGAGCTCTGGAGAATAAACTTCTTATTGCCCAGTCACTTCACACACAGCTTCCTACACAGAGGCATCAAAATGAATTACCTAAAAATCTTCCCCAAGATCTTAAAGAACAGCTGAAGAAAGCCTGTCATCCCATTTGAGACCAGAAAATAATTGGATTTCTTGGAAAAGGAAAAGACAGAAGTAAAGGAGACACTAGACACTAGGCTCCTAAGGGCAAGGAAATGCCTTTTTCACTCATGAGTCCACCCCATGTACCACAAAGGTATGGAGCCTTTGCCCTCAGAGAGAACGCAATCAGGACACTCTCCACACTTGTCGATGTCAACATTTGTTGAAAGGATGCATAAATTAACCAGCTAGGCTTAGAAATCTGTAAATAATCTTCAGTAATTACTTAGACATTTTTGGAAATTCTTACCCACCACCCCTGCCCATACAAAAATTGTCTCTCTATGTAATAGAAAAGACAAGTTGTTACAAACAACCATGTATAACAAGACGAAAAGGAATTTTAGAAATTATCAAGTCCAATATTTTAACTAGAGTCCCATTTATGTGAGTTGGTTATATCCTGGTGACCTAGATGCCACTTTATAGCCAAGAGATCTTGGACAATTTACTTAAGCTCTATGAACCTCGGTTTCTTAACCTATAAAATAGGAATTATGACTCCCATCTTGACCAGTTACTTTGAATGTTACAAATGAAAAGTATATAGAGATCACAATATTGCCACAAAATGGGCCTTTGATAATGCACGTTTTATTCTTTTTGTTCCCAATAGTCAGAGTCTGAATCCACCATCCAGAATGATATATTAGGATACTTCTCTAAGGGAAGAAATAGGCTGGGGAGCTTCCCATAAAAGGCTGAAATCTGGTGGGGTAGACTGACATCTAAGGACTACTCTAATATTCCAGCTCTTGGCTAATTCCAAATTTGCAATTTGAGCAGTTACTTCTAATACAGGGTGATAGGTATTATACTGGTCTATGCAGGGTGCTATGGAGAAATGAAGCAAGATCCAAAAGTACCTGGAGATATTGAGGAAGGCTTCTCAGAGGAAAGAACACCTAAGCTGACATTTGCCAGAGGAATAAGCCCTAGGCATATGGATGAGAGTCAAGCAACAGGGCCCTGGGACGTGGGAGAAGGGTTTAGAGGGTGAAAGGAAATCGGATATATGATGGCCTTGTGAGCTTTGCTATTGAGAAAGGAGAATATAATTTGAGATCGTGGAGAGCTATGAAAGAATTTCAAGTTGAGATGTGGCACTATCAGATCTGTGCTTTAGAAATACTGGGTAGAGAACGATATAGGTGTGGGGTGGGGACTGGGGCTAACTGCAGGCAGAGCTGCCAGAAAACTATTCTAGAGCTGTTGGTGAGAACTAAGACAGAAACAGTGTGGAAGAAGGCTGGCTGAAGGGGAGGTCTGAAAGAAGAATCAGCCGGGCACAGTGGCTTATGCCTGTAAACCCAGCACTTTGGGAGGTCGAGGTGGATCATCTGAGGTCAGGAGTTCAAGACCAGCCTGGCCAACATGGTGAAACCCCGTCTCTACTAAAAATAGAAAAATTAGCCAGATATGGTGGCACATGCCTGTAATCCCAGCCACTGGGGAAGCTGAGGTAGGAGAATTGCTTGAACCTGGGAGGAGGAGGTTGCAGTGAGCCGAGATCATACCACTGCACTCCAGCGTGGGCGGCAGAATGAGGCCCCATCTCAAAAAAAAAAAAAAAAAAAAAGTAGAATCTACCAAGGTAGGATGGCCTGTGTGGGGAAGAAGAAGGCAACGAAGATGAAACCAAAGTTATTGGCTTGGGAAATGCCGTGAATAATGATGCCATAAAGTAGGGCTTGGCAGTAGGCAAATGAAGAGTTTGATTGATTTGGGACCTGTTGAATTACAGGAGGCCTTGAGACCTCCAAATGGAAACTCTCTGCAAATGTGTGTAAGACCTACCAGCGTCCATGGCTAGGAGAGGGAACTGCTGCCCCCATTGAATCTGACCACCTGCGTTCTCTGTTTCCAGTACTTTGTCTTCACGGGGGTGTTGGCCATGGTGACCTGTGCAGTTTTCCTCCGTCTAAACTCCGTCCTGAAGCTGGCAGTGCTGCTGATCATGATCGCCATCTATGCCCTGCTCACTGAGACCATCTACGCAGGCCTCTTTCTGCGTTATGATAACCTCAACCACAGTGGAGAGTAAGTGCCCCCCCATTGTGAGTCCAAAGTGTGCTCAACTTTCTGCGGGAAGTGGAATCGTTGGGAAAATGATACCCGCCACATTATTGAAACTTAAACTGATTGGATATTGACTTACATCTCAAATCAGGCATTCTGTAGTTTACAAGTCCAAGCAAAAATCCTGACTTTTCAGTGGTATCATTTATGTGAATTACAGATTAATTAATCAAAGTTTGGACTAAATAGTAGCTCAGGTCTCCTCCAAGTCTGATAATTTGTGATATCTTCAAATTTAGTGGCTTCAATACTTGCAGGATCTATTTATAATTTGGCTGTAGCAATCTTTATAATAGTAGCCACTGTGTATTAAGCCCTCATGCTCTCTCAGGATCGTACAGTTGGTCCTGCATATCCACAGCATTGTGGATTCAAATAACTTCAGATTGAAAATATTAAAAATTACAAACAAAAACAATACAGTATAACACCTATTTACATAGCATTTACATTGTATTAGGTTTTATAAGTAATCTAAGGATGATTTAAAGCATAGGGGAGGATATGTAAAGGTCATATGCAAATATTATACCATTTTACATAAGGGACGTCAGCATGCATGGATTTTGGTATCCACAGGGCTGATGCCGAGAGACAAATGTATTACTGTTGAAATATAGAAAAGTCCAAAAAAGAATATCTTACCCAGACTCCTTAGAGAAAAACAGCCCAAGGCAAGGCTAATGATACCCTAAGACAGTGAAAGTGAGGGAAAAGAGAAGTGAGGAAGAAAAGGATGAGAGGCAAATGCAAGTTACCACTACATTTTGCTGGCAACATGGGCTGTGAAGAGATTCAGCTGGTGCCTTGGAAAATCCACTCGCAGAACCATTTGAAATGTCTCTGGGCAGGCTCTAAGGTGGGAAAAAGTGTCTCAGGACAGAGGAAGGCAGAAAAATATGTCTGCTGGCTCCTTCCCTCTCTCTCCCATTGGCAAGAGTTCCCTTTTTGCATGCACCTTCTGGTGACATCACTTGGCCCCTTTCACAGCCACTGGGGTAAACAGACCCCACACAAGAAGTGATGGAAGGAACCAGTCCAGGCTGATTGGTCTCTGGTATTAGAAGCACACAGGACTAGCTGAGGCCAGAATAAGTGGCCAACAGTCAAAGGAAAAGAATAAGGTCAAGATAATCCAAGAAGGCTAAGAAAATATGCCCAGAACTAATAATATGAATGTCCATGAACCAACCCTTGGAAGTAAACAATGCTAACAATTAGTCATATTTTCTTATGCATTTTTAAAAGGATAATGTGTTTCAGATGTTGAAATTCCTTTCTCTAGTATTATTCTCCTGTCTCCTCAAATCCAACTTCTAATATGCTTAATATATATCCTTCCCATCCATGTTATATATATAATATATATACACACATATATACACACATATATACATATAGCTAGGGCTGTATCTATAAATTATTTATAATATTTTGTTGTGATATAGTATTATCTTTCTAGATCCATCTAGGTTGATATATACGGACTTCATTTTAGTTGTTGTCTGTGCGTATGAAATAATACAAACATATCAAAATATGTTTATCCTTTGACCTATTAATAGAGACATTTAGGTTGTTACCAGTTTTCCCTATTATAAAAAATGCTTTAATTACCATAATTGATCATATCTTCTGGGGTGTAGATATAAAAGCACGCTTGTTGGATTTTAGGGTATCTGTATTTTCCACTTTTTAAAATGTTGCCAAATTGCTTTTCAATGTGACTGACACGATTTTCCTCTTATAAGCAGTGGTCCTGTTGCTCTCATTCCCACCCATACTATTAGATTTTTAAAATACTTGTTAGGTTGAGTGTGCATTTTATTGCACTGTTTGCATTTGTGCTTCTCTCATTATGCATAAGCTTGTGCATCTTTTGTTTGTTTATTGGCTATTTGGGTTTTATTTTATGTGAATTGCCAGCTCATATCCTTTACTCAGTTTTCTATTGGGTTATTCATCATTTTCTTGTTGAATTTGTAAGAGTTATTTTTGTTTTTAATTAACAAATAATTGTATACATTTATGGTATAAACATGATTTTTTGATCTATGCATATGTGGTAGAATGGCTACATCAAGCTAATTAACATATGCATTACTTCACATGCTTTTTGCATGTGTGGTGACAGCACAGAAGATCTACTGTCTTAGCAATTTTCAAGTATACAATACATTGCTATTAACTATAGTTGCCATGTTTTACAACAGAGCTCTTGAATTTATTTCTCCTATCTAAAATTTTGTATCCTTTGACTAAAATCTCCTCAATTTCATGACACACACACCCCTCAAGTCTCTGGTAACCATAATTTTTCTATCTGCTTCTATGAGTTCAAAATTCTTAGACTCCACATATAAGTGATAACATGCAATTTTGTCAACAATACTAGGCCTACCAGTAGTGACCCCGTGCTCAATTTGCTCATAGGTAAAGTGAAATATACATCATCTGTCTGTATTAGTCAGCTCAGGCGGCCAATAACCAAAATACCACAGACTAGTATAAATACCAGATCTTTATTTCTCACAGTTCTGGAGGCTGGGAAGTCCCAGACCCAGATTCTAGCCTGGCTTATTTCATTAACATAATGTCATCCAGTTTCATCCATGTGGTAGCAAGTGGCAGGGTTTCCTTCTGTTTTAATGCTAAATAGTATTCCATTGTGTTCATATACCACATTTTCATTATCCATTTATCCACTGAAGAATAGTTTCAGATTGCTCTCTCATGTTCATTGCAGCATTATTCACAATAGCCAGAATATAAGAGTTCTTTATCAACTTTAGATACTAATGTCTAATTTACATGTGTATCAAGCATTTTATGTGCTTTATTTAATCTTCAGAGTAACATTTTGAAGAACAAAGGCTAAGAGAAGTTAGCAATTACCCAGGTTCACATGGCCAGTAAATAACAGATCTGTATTCAAACTTACACTCTCTTTGGCAAAATCATCTTTGGCCATTCCTCATTTTCTAATCCGTGTACATAAGTTTTTATTACTGCATTTACCTCACTGTGTTGAAGTAATTAATTTTCATGTCTTTCTCTTCCATTAAAATAGGAAATTTTGAAGACAAGGACCATTACTCATGTTCATATAGTAAGCACTTAGGGTTATCTGGCAAGGTGTCCAATTAAATATTTGTAGAATGAAATATTAAATGATTGAGTGACTGAAAGAAGCATTAACTCATTTGGAATTGTATTACATCATTGATTCACAGTAAGCCAACTATCATTCACAACCCTTAGAATTTTTTCTCATTATTGCCCTTATAATATGTGCTCCTCAACCTATAAGCACAATTTCTTTTGGATTTGTGTCATACTTCACATTTAATGTGTTTTTTTTCTATTTGCCCAGGTAGAAAATGTGTTTTTTTTCTATTTGCCCAAGTAGAAAATGCTTGTTCCAAAGCATTTAGTGTTTTTGTCTTCTCATAGTCTTTATTAGGTATGTATTCCAACTGATCATCAGAAGATACTATTTCCACACTACCTATGCCTTGTTGACTTCTTAAAACATAGGCAAAATACTGGAATGCATTAATGCATCGTAATTCAGGTTAGAATTGAGTTCTGGCACCCGTTTCTACTCATCAGTGGGCATGTTTTTAATTCAGGGAGGCAATAAAATAGACTTAATAAGAGCATCAGTTTTGCTGGTTCTAGCAGCACCTTGTAGGTGATGTGCTGGGAGGGAGTCTCCCTCACAAACCCACCCTCCTTTTAGTCTAAAGTTTGGAAGAGACAATGACAGTGAAGTGGCCACATTGTCTAGGGTAGATACCCAAGGTTCATCATCTCATGCCAGGAAAATTTAGGATATGGACACACATGAGGAGTTTAGGAGTGGAGATTTAATAGGCAAAAGAAAGAGAAAGGAAAACAGCTATCTCTATTGAGAGAGAGGAGACTTCTGAGAGGAAAGACTGGTCGGGGCAGATGCATCAGATTTTATAGTCAGATTTGAGGAGATAGTGTCTGATTTACACAGGGTTCACAGATTGATTCAATCAAGTATGATGTCATATCATGTGGGGAAAGCTGACTCCTCCACCCTAACCTTATTATGAAAATGGGCTTGCCAGTTGACTGGCGCCATCTTGTCTGCTCCTTACTGTACATGTGGCTGACAAAGAGAAGGGAAGATGGAGCCACCATCTTGAACATGATTGGCACAATGTCAGTACCTATGTCTGCAGCTTGATTTTACAGGCTTTCCTTTGTTAGAAAGGAAAATAATTTGGGGCTGCTTTTCATTAAAAGGAAAACCTTACTGAGGACTTCCATGCCCTCACTATCTGCCTTAGTAATTTCTTCTTAACTCCTGTATCATTCCTCCCTCTGGATTGGTAACCCTAACTGCTGTTAGGGGTGTTGGACGACAACGCTTTCTGGCTACTTCCTGCTGAAAAGGGCGTTGTGTGAAGAACAGCAGCTAGGGCTCCTGCTGGGGTCAATCTAAGGGTCCTTGAAAGAAAGGCACATTCATGCATGGTTCTGTCTGCAGCACCATTTGGAGTTTGATTACTGTCAGCCATTCTGATGGGTTGTAACACTGGTTTACCTCCACCAGCCGTTGCTGAAATGTTAATATAGAAGTAACATTCCTTTTAGGATAAGTGGCATTGGATTTGGGTGGCTAGAGTCACTTTAGTGTTAACCTTGGTTAAATCTTTCCTGCAATTATTAATCCTTTCATGACTACCACAGGCCATCTAAGACACACTTAAACTTTCCAACTTGTCCTAAACAAGTATTTTTTAAACAACAAACTATTCTTTTTAGCACAAGTATTACCTTCCTTATAACCCTTTAACGACTTCCACGAACCATCTATGACATGTTTAAACCTTCTGACTTGTCCTAAACATCCTTCTTTTAAACAACCAACTATTGTCTTTAGAACAAGTATTTATCATCCAAGATCCTTTCTTTACATAAAATCT